CTCGATTTCAAATATTTTTAGGTTCATTATTTCCATAAGTTTACAGCTACATTTCATCCATTCTTTCTTTTCACTTGAAGTGTACTTGCCATATGTAAAGATCCTGTTTCTTCTCTCTCTATATATAGGTTTGCTATTTACGTTCAAAATCATGGAAGAAAATAATATTCACATGACATAATCTCAACAAAGTCCGTAACCAAGCAATTGAATGATAGGGAGTAAGGCCCCTCAATCGACTATTTTAAGTATAACTCCCTCCAGGAAAAAGGTTAGTTGGTAAGAAGGCTAGTGCCCCAGAAAATAACATATTCTAAAGTTTTTAAGGAACAGCTCTGCCTAGCTGTTAATGTGAATCTGAAGCACCACACAGTTACTGCAAAAGATTCCTTTAACCTGAAGTCACAAGTTGTCCTAGAAATGGCCAATATTTGTTTTATTAATCTTTCAATTTTTAATGAGGCTTCTCAGTGTTCCAGATATAACATATACCTGGGCAGACAGGTGATGGCTATGACATCAGAATGACTGTCCAATCTGCACCACTGGGATCGCCATGCCCACCCCCACCCCCACCGGGACAGTTTCGGTCCCAACTGCTCACTCTCCTCAGTTTCTCCTTAGCAAGCTATCTTACCCCATGGCACTGAGCTAATTCACACATTCAAATTATTTAGTGAAATATCTGCAGAGAATATGCTTTGGTATCTCAACATTATCATATTACAGACACATGGACTAAATTATGGACACATGGCTGACAGCTACAGGTTTTCATTACATCTTCTGAAATGTAAAAAAGTACACAAAAACAACTCTCAAATATCCTTTTCTTGAAACCTTCTTTCACTCCACCTTTCATTCTTAATGAGAAGCCTATCTTTCAGTAATGTTAACAAGCTCCTAAGTGTTCTCCCTACAAACTGAAAACAGACTGCCCCCCGGCACCCTGCCATCGCAGCTTGCAGGAACGGATTCCAGCACAGGATACTTTCTGATGGCGCCCTTTCTCCACAATCAATTTAATTTTCAACAATAATTTTTCCATTGATCTTGAGATGTAAAACAAACAAACAAACATGGAATGTAGGGACACATTTTGACTCATTAAGTGACACATCTATTACTGTGAAAGAGCAAGTGACTGAAATAAAAAACACTTCCAGTTCTCTTTGGAATATAGTTTTGCTACAATATCACCAGGAAGGTGATATCCCATTGGCCTGGGCAACAGACAGCTGAGGCATGTTCTCTGATCCTTAGTTGTTTCCTTAATTACACGAGAGGCAGGTTGAATGAGCTAAGCTTTCCTTCTGGATGTTTGCATGAAAGCTGCCACCTAAGAAGTCTCCGTGCCTGTGACGAGGCGCTACCACCTACCCTTGCTAGACAATCTCAGGTTGGGCTGGATGTGAGCAGTCACAGAAGGCAACTCCTCACTTCAAACCTGAGGATACTGAGGCCAGGGTCACAGAGTTGGGAAGAGATGATGGCCAGACAGTGCGGGACGGACAGGGAGGTGAGTGGACGGACAGACAGGGGCACACAGCTGGGAGTCGGGAGCTCCTCATTGTATTTCTGGCTTCACCAGTCTACCACCAACCAGTTCCTTTCAACTTGGGAAAACCATCTCATTTCTCTGGGGCTCCTTTCCCTTTCCTATGAGGCAGTAAGGCCTGAAAGGCTCTCTCTTCCAGCTCTCGTAATCTCTAATTTCATGAAACAATTGAACTTTTTAAACTATTCAACTTGGCAATGCCAGGTCCATTTTGCCAGGATTGTGCAGAATTCACAGCACCATAATGGTAGAAGGGACTTGAGAGGCCTCATTAATTCATAGATTTGACACTGTCCTGATTTACATGCAATGACCTCTCTTAACATTACTTTAGAAAGTGGCTGTGAATTAGTCACAATAGCCAAAACACAGAAACACCCTAAGTGTCCATCGTAAGTGTTAATTGATAAGTCAATGGATAAAGAAATTGTGGTATATGTATATATACACAATGGAATATTATTCAGCTTTCATATGTAAGGAAATCCTGGAGTTTACAACAATATGGATAAACCTTGAGGGCACTGTGCTAAATAAAAAGAAGTCAGACAGAGAAAGACAGATTCTGTATAATCCCACTTACACATGGCATCTAAAATTTGAACCCATAGGAATGGAGACTAGATAGGTAGTTGCCAGAGCCAGGGGTGGGGGAGTGGAGAGGGAGAGTAGACGTGGGTCAAAGGGTACAAGCTTCCAGGTAGGAGATAACTAAGTGCTGGGGGTGTGATGTACAGCACGGTGACTACAGTTAACAATACTGTTGTGTATTTGAAAGTTGCTAAGAGGGCAGATCTTAAAAGTTCTCAGCACACACGCATACACACATGCATTGCAACTATCTGGGGATGGATGTGTTAACTAATCTTATTGTGGTAATCATTTCACAACAGAGACACATATCAAATCATGTTGTAAACCTTAAACTTAAATAATGTATGTCAATTATCTTTCAGTAAAGCTGAAAAAAAATTCTGTTAACTTTTTCTTGAAAAAAAAAAAAAGAAACTGGCTGTGAGCAGAGCTTCATCAAAAAGTAGTTCTCACCTTGAATCTAGATGTTCAAATAATAAAAACACTGCATACTAAAATTAGCTGTGGTGTCCCAGCCTTACTACACAGGGTGAACAGAAAAGTCAGGATTACTCAAGTCACCCTGGAAGTCTGTGTGCATCTGGCTGTTTTTCTAGAAGTCCCTTGTGAAATGCGACTATCTACCTGGGGCTGTCACACCTCTTTACAGTGTGTTGACTACCTCTCATTTAATTTCTCCTAAGATCCCAAATTCCATTTGGCAGGAAAGATTCCCATAAAAATACATGTCTCTTTGGAGCCAATCCCCACTGTCTGTTCAAAGAGCCCTTCTCAATAATAACTGTTTTCATAAGTGATAAAATGGCAGGAAGAGTAAACTGTATATACAGGCAGGCCATTACAGTAACATATGTTCCCCGACTGCCGATTCTTACAAAAGTCAAAGTGGCCACCGTTTGCTTTCTGAAGCTCAACCACCTCCTTGGTTCTTTGATTACTGCAGGACATACTGGCAGTGGGACAAAAACTGCCCTTTTTTAGGCACGAGAGAGTAACAGAAGGAGAGGTATATCAAGGGGTCACTGGCTTAGCTTCTTCCTTCAGGCAGGTCGGCATTTGAACTGTCTGAGAGATGGCTGTTGCTTCTGTTTTTAAAGATAAGAGATTTTACAGCCACTTGAGTGAATCTTTCTCGAAGTTTACCCTCAAAGGCAATTTTTTTACACCTCACAACTGCTTGGCCCTCCACCCTATGCCTTGCTGTAGTTTAAGCCTGCTTCCTCTCTGGTCCTCTGTGGGGCACCAAGACACCTGCTTGGTGCTTCCATTATGTTTCCTGTAGGGTCACTATTAGTCTTTAGCTTGCCATTCCCCCTGTGGATACCTAAGAAGCTGGGTTTGGTTGTAACTGTGTGGTCCTGTGCTGTGGCCTGCTTTCACACATACATTAGAATCAGCTACCAAGTCCCAGACTTTCCCGAGAATAGGTGTGGCCAGAAAGTCTCCAAGGGCTTAAAGATAAAAATCTGAGATGGGGGAAAATGGGGTCAGAAATAAAGGGAGTCACAAAGCAAGGAAAGGCGGCAGGGGCACCATGAATGGAATACTATGTCCTGCGGGGCATGGTAGCGCTCTGTGGGGCTTTGCCCCCTCTGGATCATGGAGAAAGTGGAGGTGACTCCTGGGATGGCTCTACATGTGACTGAGATGCTACGAGGCTGTGGCCAGGATGGCCACGAGCTATAGGGATCACAGGATGACCTTAAAGCCCCCATGGGTAGGGCTGAGAAGGTCCTCTGGGGGGACTGGCCCCCATGCCCAGGGGAGGGACTCTCTGACGACCTCAGACAGGAGTTCACTCTCTCTGCCAGGCTCATTCAATCTTACAAAGAAGCTCGCATTCTTATCCTGATTTTGCTGATGAGGAAATTGAGGATCAGAGAGGTTCTGTAGCTTACTGAAGGCTTATGTGCCTGAACTCTACTTTTTCCCCCCAAAACCCAACTTCTAAACCACTCCTGACCTTTCTGCATGTCAACTTCTGGGCATATTAAGAAGCCCTGGTTTTGAATTTCTTCCCTATCCCTGAGGAGGGAGAATATTAATTTTTCATGGGAGACTAGATAAGGTGTGGAGGCGTGCAGATGTTCAGTGGGGGCTCCAGTCAGCTGCACAGGTCTGGGCTGAAACCTGACCTCCATCCCAGGGAAGGGTGTGGTTCTGGAAAAGAGCGTTACTCTTGTGTTTACTCAAAGATAGTCATTAAGTCACTGCAAAGACATCTTTCTCCAGACTAAACAACCCCACTCTTTTTTTTAAAAGGCTTTCCTCACAGGAGGTGTTTTTTTGGTACCATATTTCTATATTTACTGGTTTTCCCCAGCCAACTATTCTACTCTCCCATTCTCTATTTTAATCAGACCTGTAATAAGATTTTGATCTATGCCACAGAAAGAAAAGGGTCATTTTCATAGTTTTCATCTCCAGCCTTCACAAATGAATAAAAGGCCAGCATGGATGGTAATCAGTCCTTTGTGGTCCACTCTGGCTTTTTTCTGCTGCCTCTGTGCCTGGCCAGTCTTCCAGACACTGTTTCTGATCCTGTTGAATTTCACCATGTGTTTAAGGAACTAGTCCTTAGTCTCATGCAGCCCCAGACTGTTTCTAACAAGCGCTTAAATCAGCATGATTTCCTTCTGCCCTTGAGAGGATGCATCAAAAAGATCCCAGTGTTCAGAGACAATCTTTGAGAAGTCAGGGTGTCAACAATGACATTCTTTCTCCCCACAGGGGTATGACATCCCTCTCTGGCCGGGGTTTTAGCCCCATTTGAGCAATGCCGGTCAAACCCAAGGATTCAGAGCATACCAGCCCAGAGGATGTGCTAGCCCCGAGGGGGCCCACTTACTTCGAGGTTCTCGGGGTCCATCCACTGTGATTTTGATGGCTCTGTGATAAGTGGCAACTTGTGGTGGGTTTGTGAAGACGGTGATCGTCAGAGTGAAGCTTTTCCCTGTGGGAACACAAAAGAGAGTACAGAAGGTGATGCAATGGCCTGAACATACCTGCTGGATGACTGGCCACTAACTCAGACTTCCCAGCCCTCAGACTGGAAAGCAGGCAGCACCGTAGCATGACTTACTGGTTCTGCCAACATCCCTTGAGTTTGGCTGTGCTTAAATTCTGGAATGCACACCTGGAGTATTTGTCTAGATCTAACACTGCACATGGTTACATGGCTTTTGTTGGGCTGTCAATAAACACCACAGGATCAAGAGAGACTCAGAATGGTGTTCTTTAGCTGAGACCCCAGGGAACACAGCATCAAATTGGCAGCTATCCACCTCCCCCAACACGCTCCTCGAGGAGTAAGAGAAACCATATCTATCTTTCCCCTCTAGTGGTGTTGGTAGCTCCAAGGACTAGGAACATAGAATTCCTAAGTTTGAGGATAGACTAAATTAAAATTATTCTCTCTGTATTTCAAAAATAGGAATTTGCTGGTTGACTTGAAATATTATTTTTAAATGGTAGATCTTATTACATTAGAGGCACACATGGGATTGGTCAGACAAACTGTGTGGTTAATAAATGGACTTAAGGATATGTAACCAATAGACCGAAATTCAATAAGTACTATAAACCTATGTACGGACGTGGACTTTCATCTAACCATTTTACATACACTTATGAAATGTGACCCTGTCTTCATTACATGTCTAATGCAGTGCTTTTAATAACCTTAAAAATTATTTAAAAATAGATTTATAATTAGCAATACAATTACCAATATATAAGTACATAAACAATACAGTATATATTAATAATTAATATTAATGATGTAATTATTAATACATAGGTATATTAATAATGTAAAGCATTTCTTCTTGGCTAGATGGTTCAGAGAATTTGACTCCAGGTATGAATCTGGCATGGCCCTTGACCACTCTGTGCTTCAGGGCCCTGAACCTGGAGGATGGGCTCATATAACTTCCTTCCTTACAGAATGTCATGGTAGATAAAATAAGTTAATGTCAGTAAAACCATTAAAACAGTATCCGGCGCATGGTATTTGAAGGGTGTGTGCTGTGTTCACTTTTACTATTTCTCTTCTCTGTTTCTCACAGCTCCACAAGAAGATCCTAAGGTCTGACTAAGCCTGATGTTCAGACCTCCTGCCTCAATACAGTCGTTCTCCACTCAACAGTTTCTCCTCTTAGTTGTGTAGCATGAGAAGAAAACAAGAAAAGTAAAACGTGCCCACCCATTTTTCTCTTTGCTCCCAAAACCATTTTCAAAATCAAATTGTCTTCCTCTCCAAAGTTAGAAAGAATATTTTCAACTGTCATGCATGTATTAATACAAAGGAAAGCTATGGAAAAATGCTCAATGAAAATATAATCTTTGGCCACAGCACACCAATGATTCCTTAATCATGAAAAACTCCCTCCAAACAATCCCCAGGGATCTATACCCTGTCTGGATGAGTCTATGATAAGAACAATTACAAGTGATGATCAGATGATGAAATCTGCCTTGCCAGGTGTGGCTTTATAACCAAAGTCATGGCTGGCCTGTTTAACAGGCGAGGTGAGGATGCCATTGGGTGGAGTGCACCAGGGGGCCAGAGCACTGGAGGGGCCCACGGGGCCCTGCCCCTCATTCACCTTCCCCACTAACCAGTCCTCTTCCCTGGAACCCGGCGAAGATTCCTTTCGGGCTTTAGGGATTCACCATCTTTTGGACACCCTGCAGATGTTACCAGACACACCCTGAATTGTTTTCTACCCTGGCATCTAGCCAAAGTAGAGGAATGGGCAGAAGGGGCTGCAGGCCAGGCCCAGTGCGGGTGTCTAGCAATGTAGCCGGGCACCCGGGTCCACTGCCCATCTAAGAACTGGGCAAAGGAGCAAGGTGGCCACAGCCCCAGGAACAGCCCCGTGCGGGTGGTCCTCTGAGCGTTCAGCCAAGCTGCCCCTCCTCTGGCAGGGACCTACAGGGGGTATTACCAGCATCATCAGGACTGAACCTACAGCCAGCTTCACTCCTCAGACCCCGCCTATAGGCTATTTCTCTCTCTCACCTCTCCCCGCCAGGCTCCCCCAAGCAAGCTCTACCCACAAGCTGCCAAGCTTCTGCTTTGGGGTCTTTCTCCCTCTAGCCGCTTTGCCAGCCCCCGAGGCCTCCTTGCTCCCCCTGCTGCCTCAGTCTCTGGCTTCAGAGTCAGGCGCCAGGTGCCCATCCTTCAGGTAGCCTTCTTGGATGACTGCAGTTGGCTCTGTGGCTGCTTCTGCGCCTTTGATCCATCAGGATGTTGCATTGAGTGGGGTTTGCGGCTGTAAAGGCCTAAGGGCTGGGATCATGTTCTGTTCCCACCAACTATCCCTCAGGAGGTAGGAAAGGAGAGCAGTGGGTAAGGGGTAGCTTCAGGGTACAGGGGGCACTGAAATGAAAAAACAAAACAGTACCTTGAAGACACAAGCAATGAATACCAATGTTTGCCCAGTGACAGAGCAGGTCTGTGTATACGTGCAGGTGTGTGTGTGCATGTGTGTATGTGGGGGTGTGGCGCTTCCTGCAAGAGAGGTAGAAAGTTTGAGTTCCTGCGCAGATGATCTGACCTCTCCAGATGTCAGCTTCCTGGTCTGCAAAACAAGGAGGTTTGTGGGACACATACAGTGTCACCTTCAACTCCGACTGCCTTCTGAGAACATAGCCCGCAGGGTGCCCATCTCCATCTGCAGGCATGGACTTGTCCCTCTGCACTTCCTCTGATGTCTGCAAGCTCAGCATTTCAGAGACTCCATGAAAATACCATGTTAGTTTTCTAGGGTTGTTTGACAAAGCACGTGACTTAAAACTGAACTTCATTGTCTCTCAGCTCTGGAGGCCAGAAGTCCAAAATCAAGGCGTCGGCAGGGCCACACTTCCTTTGATGGCTTCATGGGGAGCCATTCCTTCCTCACTCTGCCCCAGCTTCTGCGCATGCTGGCAGTCCCTGGCAGGTGGTAGCAGCGCTCCAGTGCGGCCTCCATGGCCAGAGGCCTGTCTTCCTGCTGTGTCTCTTCTGTCTCTCAATCTCCCTCCCCTTGTAAGGACACCAGTCACTGGATGCAGGGCCCACCCTATCCGGGATGACATCTTCATCTTAACTGGATGACATCTGCAAGGCCCCTGCTTCTAATACGGTCACATTCTGAGGTTACTGGCGGACATGAAATTTTAGGGAACACCATTCAACCTAGTCATAAGTCATAAGCACCAAACATCATAAGAGTTACCGCTTGGCACTAGGAGTGTCAACTGTTCTATAGGCACCTGTGTGTTTTGTTCCCTGTGGCAGCCATGCCACAACTATCCTATTCTTGACTTCCTAAATGACAACAAAGAAGCATTGTCTTCGTGATAATTGACATTTTTAGGTCTGCGTAGAACTTACAACTTTTCAAACACTTTCCCATATACTTTTTCATTTGGTCCTCACCACATTCTCATGAAATAAACAAGACACATTTTATTGTCCTCAGTTAGTAGCTAGCAAAGCAAAGGCTCAGAGAGGTTAGGTAATGTGCCCAAAGTCACACAGCTTACATATACCACAGAACCCAGATTTCCCAGCTTTATGCGCACTGTTCTTCACATTATGGTCATGAGGTCCTAAATCTCTACCTGCAAACCCAGTGACACCAGCACCAGGAATCCAAACTCTGGGCACTTTTCCCATGCTCTACCACTGCCCAGGAAAGTGCACATAGTCCTGGTGACTCTAATGTACCCGCACTGTGCTCAGCTGACTATTATGTCTGGGTTATAGTTCAAAAGCAATTCCTTACTGAGCCAAATTTGGGCTCCTGGCAGTTGAGTCCTTAGTGCCGCCCCCTGGTTAACCACAGACTGGCCTACTCAAGCGGGAATGAAAGTCAACTCAAGTGAATATTTGTGAAATTGTTGCTCATAACTATAACTCCATTATGTTATGCCCATTGTTTTATGTGCAAATGTCTGTCCAGCAAAAGTTACTAGATGGGGCGTTTTGGCCCCAATAATGCGGCTCATGAAGGTGGAGACATTCCGGTTTTGGCCCTCACAATGGGCTCTTGTTTGCAGCTTTGAGCACCAGGACATCTGCTCATTACCTCATAGACAGGGGTAATAAGTGATGACACTGCACTCACAGGTGTGTGTGACATTTTTCAACCCCAGGAAAACTCTGCCTTCCACTTCCTTGTGTTCTTTCGACCAGATCTGGCACCGTGCTTGACAACTGGGGACAGTCAGCCAGTGGCACATCCGACTGATGTTCTGAGCTTCAGGACCCAGCGAGCTCTGCCCTCTGCCCCATCCAAGCCCATCCCTGCTGGGACACAGCCCTTCTTGGCCAGCACCTGCAGAAGTGGCAGCTGCACCCTAGCACACGGTGTTATTAGCCAATTTCCCTCATTCAAATGACCTATGGGCTTGGAATTTTAAGTGTGTGGGTGTGGAGAGCGAAAGCCTCTCAAGTGTTTTTCTCAGCAAGTTGGAGCCAGACGAGTAAGTCAGAGGAAAGCAAAGGAAGATGGATCAGCTGAATAACAGCAACCCCCAAATCAGTGGGCAGATGGGACTGCCCTGGAGAGAGGCAGCTGATGTTCATTTCTGCAGCCTGAATGAGTCCTTGCAGGGGAGCCTTGAAGCCTCCCCGCAGCCCTGGTTCTGGCTCCCGCGGGATGGGACGAGCAGAGGCCCTGGCCAGAGCACGGCGACCCGGGCATGCCACTGAGAGGCCGCAGCTCCTGGCTCCCAAGGGAGTAGGCTGCAGGGTTCTGGGTGGGCTGTGGGGGCTGGTGGGGAGGGAGGGAGCTCTGGCAGGGGGTCACCAAGACCTCTGTCTCTGGCTCTCGGAAACCTAACCTGAACAGCAGCCTCCTTCATGGCTAATGGCGGGCACCCGGAGCAATGCTATATACAAACACAAACATTAGGACTAAATAAAGTGGGAAGAAGTGCCTGGGAGAGAAGGGCTATCTTCAC